CAACAGTCAGTGTTGATTTCATTGCTTGAAGATGAAGATGCTTTAGCTTCAAGAGAATTATTTGTTGTTGGTCTAAAGCAGCATCTCCTTCCTTTGGTACAAGATAAGATCATTTAGAGAGTACATCTGACAAACCTTGTTATTTTTCTGGTCGATAAGTGAACTTGAATTCGAATCTTGACAAAGACATACTCTAATGGGCTTGGCGATGATTCAAAATACATGTTGATATAAAATATTCAAGGTTCTTGTGATTTGTATACATTGTGACTGGGCTAGAAGCACCTTCTAGATAATGGTGCCATTCTTGAAACAAATCCATGATTGTAAGAAGTTCTTTGTCGTGGATCTCGTAGTTGATCTCGAGTCCTAAAAATTTTCTAGAATAAAAAGCTATTGGGTGAAGTTTATCATCTGTTCCCATTTGTGACAATAAGGCACCTAAAGTAAAATCTAATGCATTTGTTTCCAGAAAAAATGGCTTAGAAAAATCAACGCGATACAAGATTGGTGCAGAAACAAAGGCTGTCTTCAAAGCTTCAAATGCTACTTCTACTTCTTAATTCCATTGAAGTTTGTCTTTGTAAGTCAAACGTGTAAGTGGAGCTGCAACTTGAGAGAAGTCTTTGATGAAGATCTGATACTAGTTGGCAAATTCCAAAAAGCATTGGACATCTCTTACCGTTTTTGGGATCTTCCAATCCATAATAGTTTGAACTTTCTTAAGATCTATCATAAGTCCATTATTTGAAATGATGTATTCTAAGAAGTTGACTTGAATAGTGTGAAATACACACTTTTCTATCTTGGCATAGAGTCCCGCATCTCTTAGTTTTTGTAATACTTGGCAAACATGAAGTTCATGTTCTTCTGGATTCTTAGAATAGATTAAGATGTCATCTAGGTAATAGACAATAAAATCATCTAAAAACTCCTAAAAGACATCATTCATTAGATGTTGGAATGCTGCTGGTACATTTGTAAGTCCAAAAGGTATGACGTTGTATTTAAAATATCCATACCTTGTTCGAAACACAGTCCTCCATTCATCTCTTTCTTTGATGCATACCAAATTATATGCTCCTCGTAGATCTATTTTTGCATAGATCTTAGCTTGATTCAACTGATCAAGAAGTCCAAATATCAAAGGTAGTGGGTACTTATTTTTGGTAGTGATTTTGTTGAGTCCTCGATAATCAACACACATCTGTAATGATCCATCTTTTTTCTTCACAAATAAAATTGGAGCTCCTGCTAGAGATTTGGAATAGCGTATGAAGTTCTTGACCAAATTTTCTTTAATATACTCCTTGAGTTCAGTCAACTCATTTTGAGATAAATTATAGATTGGTCCAAATGGTGATTGTGCTCCTTCTTCAAGGTCAATTGAGCAATCACAGGAACAATGTTCTGGAAGAGTATCCACATTCTTTTTTTCAAATACATCTTGAAAATCTTGATATTTGCTTGGAATGCCACTTAAAGTCTTTCCACTAGTAGAAACAAGTGTGGCATAAATGACACAAGATGATCTTTCTTTTACAGCAAGCAAGAAAGCACTTACACCTACAAATATAGGTTTAATTATACTAGACTTATGACTTTCTACTTGATTAACTACACTCTTAGTTATACTTTAAGAAAAGTCAAGACTACGAGAAGTCCAATCTATTTTAGGATTATATTTTTCTAGCCATGATAAACCTAAAATGATTGGATTAAAAAGAGATTTAATGATATTAAATATTATAAAGCTACTATGTCCATTAGTTGCTATTTCTATAGGAAGGGTTTGATGAGTAACATCTCTTGAAGACAACGGACGACTATCTATGACTTCTACATGAACAAGTTTAGTTTTCTTTATTAAAAATATGCTATGTCTTTTAGTAAATTTTTCATCTAAGAAACATGCTGAGGCTCCTGAATCTAGCAAGGCAGAGGCTTTGAGATGTTTAGGTCCTAGAATAACATTTATTATAAAACATGGAGTGGGTTTTGAGGAGAAGATAGGTGTGATTGTCATTTTACTTACTCTAACTAATCTAATCAGAGTAAAACTTTATAGGGGAATTCAAACATAGGGAAAGAATACCGCATGAGCTTACACGTTATGATCACACAATTAACTGTATTTCGCACTACTTAAAACACCCAGGAAACACTACAATGCTTTCCACTTCGTAATAATACTCCACCATCATTGATAACAAGAACATGTAATCCCGCACTATCCTAAATGATAGGACATAATCATAATATAATCCAAATTCTGGAGTTCTTCACCATTAATTGCCTTCACATTACAGTGATTCACACAAATACAGACTCATTCTCTCTGCTGAACTACAATCAGATTTCAGTATTCAATCTTTCTTCTTCCCATTTAATAACAATCATACTTCCATTCCATAATTCACTTTCACAATATTCAGAAACTCTTAATCTTCTTATTCAAAGAAAATAACAAACAAAAGAAAAGAGGTAGCACCAAGCTTACCCCAGCTCATACTATCACAGTCTGGCCCTTACTTCCGCTCTCCCATCCTCCTTATGCTACCACGAGATACCAACTGCTACATCTCTAATGAAAACTGCTTTTCCTAACTATTCATCCATTTTACCTACTAAACTACCTTTTCAACAGTCATCTATCCCTGTTTACACTATAAACTAAGTATCTACAATTCAACAAATAACTACTTATTCTACATAGCCCCACTCCCATCTGTGCAACATTCTCGCAAACATAGAACCGATACATAACTAAAAAAAAACTTCTCCAAAATTTCTATTTATCTGATACACCCAATTGATCAATTACTACATTATCCATTATTGGTTCCACTGATTCTGGCTCTAGTGGTACGTCTTCATTCTCTTCCAATATTTCAAGCGACTCCTTTCTCAACTGGGCTGAAAGATCTTCATTATATTCTCTCAATTCCCGGACCTGAGCTTCCAGTTTCAGGATCTGGGCATCGCGAAGTTCCAACTGATGTTGCTGCGGACTCATCCCTTCTAGGTGTTAGGGACATATTCCTTAGAACTTTCTAGAGAGAAGTTTCTAGAACCTTCTAGAAAACAAGCCTCTGGAACCTTCCAGAAGAGAAGCCTCTGGAACCTTTTAGAGAGAAGTTTCTAGAAGCTTGTAGAAAGGAAGTCTCTGGAACCTTCTAGAGGAGAAGTTTCTAGAAGCTTCTAGAAAGGAATCCCCTGGAACTTTCTAGAAGCTTCCTAGTTAATAGAAGTAGCTCGAGAAGTTTCTAGAACCTTCTAGAAAAGAAGCCTCTGGAACCTTCTAGAAGCTTCCTAGTTAATAGAAGTATGTAATTGCTAAATTGAATGTGCATGCCAACTTATACTAAATCCAAGAAGGATGATGTTTTTTTCAAACCCACTAATATTATATGCTAGTATTTGAATAACTATGTGAAGGTTGCTCTGAACCAATATGCATATCCTCTTCTGTTTTCTTTTACTGTGATATTACAATGTAACACAACCATGTCACTTCTCAACTTTATTATTTTGAAGACCATGTGGAACTCATTCTCTAAAGTTTAGACCCACAACAGTTATTTATTTATTTATTTATTTTGTTTGTAATGATTCGTCAACACTATGGGTTACATGTAAGAGTCAAAACTGCCTTTAGCTCATTTATGTAGAAAGATGTTTTGCTCTAAAATTGTGTTTTTTTTTTTTTTTTTTTTTTTTTTTTTTGTGCTGATGTGGCAGCAATATGTGTAGATTGTGCAAGCCATTTTTTTATATATTTTTAACATAAAACTAACTAATATCATTATTTCCATGTAATGAATGTTCAAAAAATATTTGTGGTTTTGTATTTTTGAATCTATACAAGATGATTAGACTCTTTTAGGTATAATCATAATTTAGCTTAAGCTTTGTCCTAAATTATAGTTTATTTAATAACAATGTTGTAAATGATGGTCGAAAATAATGGTAAAAAATTAATTTTTAAATGTTATTAACAACCAATCATTTTTGGTAAGTTATGTTATTTTAAAAGAATCATATTATGATTCATATTGGCATACAAAATAGTCATCATTATGTAGATAATAAAGACTTGTCTTAAATAAAAATTATTTATGCTGAAGCAGATTTTGAATATTTTTTACTGAAAATGTAAAAATTATATATTTGTTATCAGTATTCAAGAAGGATGTGTAATAATTTTAAGATATTTAAGACATAATTTTTTTTTGGGCTTGCTTAAAGTACATCCAATAATTCATTCGTGTTTAAATATCAACCAGTGAAAACATGTAAAAATATAATTTAACTTAAATATATCAAAGAGTCATGTTTTCTTTCATTAAGTATTATGTGAATAATGCTGATCATTAAAAAGAAAAATAGTAAAAATGTCCAATAGAAAATCATAAACAATTAGTTCCTATGCATACTTTGTATACATTTAATTATATTGTATATATGAATTTCTCTATTGTAATCAAATAAATACATATATTCATGTACTTTTTTCTATTGTAAATAATTATTAAAAGTTCCAAATTATAATCCTTAGAATTGAAATCAATTGATATTACCGCAGAGAAGATCTGAAACATATTTAAATTTTGTTTATATATATATATATATTTAATTTTTTTCAATACGTTTTAATTTTTTCTCCAAAAAGTGGTATGAAAATATAATATTTCTTTGGGCAAGAACCTATTACATGACATAATTTTACAAAATTTGAATTTGTTTTTGAAATTTTATCTCTGTAATGTTAAGTTATTCACTTTAGTCAAACTTAATCAGTTATTGTTTACGTTTCAAGAAAAGAAAGAATGCAGTGCACATGAAGATTAAACAACACGACTCCGTATCAGTTTTCAAACAAGTCTAATTATTTGTGTGTTTTGGGCATAGGCGCCGCTCTCGAGGGGGGTAATGCCGCGGGTGGGCGGTGACACCGTGGAAGGGGCGAGAACACAAAGGAGGAAAGAATGGAGGGGAGGGAGGGAATAGCGCTCAACACTTAGCACCTCGTTTGGTAACCTAAACCTTGTGCCCGCCTCACTGTCCCGCATGGCGTCGAGCATTTTGCGTCGAAATCGAAACTGGTAATGCTTCCAATGGCGAGGAGCCTGGTCCCTTCTTCAAAGCCCGCGTTCAGTCCAGGACGGTTGCGTCGGAGTGCGGCGCTCTCGTCGCAGAGCTAAATTCTTCCTATGAGCGCCAGATACTCGTTCGAATAGTTTGGTCGCGTATGATCGCGAGGTTCAAGCGTCGGGGAGGAATTAGCAATGGTGTGTGAGGAGCTTGGATTTTGCTCTATTTTTTCACTCTTTTTTTCTTTACCTTTTTTTTTTTAACGCCGAGGGAAGTGGTGGATGTATTTTGAATTTGGAGTTGAATCGGCAGTTTGTATTTATTCGTCTTGCTTAGAGTGTTGAAATTGGAGATGCTTCTCGTTGGATCGTTGGACAGTTTAGTATTCTTGCGAATTACACTGTAGGTTCGGAGGCTTCGGTAGCAGGTATCGTGGTCTTCTAGTTTGTTCGCGGCGGGGTGTACACTTCAAGTTTAAATTCTTGTTGCTGTATGAGTTGAAAGCCTTCCATTAATTGGTTACGTTTAAAGTCATAAATGAACTCACAGTAGTTCCCCTAGATTTTGCTTATTCAGGTCTAGGTAGAAAGGGCAGGGTGCCAAGTCAGGTCTGAGAGGCCATCACGGAGGCATTCGCAAAGTGATGACTGATTCATCAAGTTCGTAGAGGGTGCAATCGAATGGAGTTGACATGTCTGAGTGTCTTGCTTTGCATGCGTTTCAATGAGTACTGCGCTCTTTTAGTTGTTCCAGGATTTTAAGATGTCGTATGCACAGGGTTATCTGTGTTGATGCTCAAATGTGTACTAGTTTTCATTAGAGAGGGCTTTCATCAAATTGAGAAAAGTTGGCAATGCAGTTGACCAGTGACGTTCGATTCACTGCTCGTGAATGTGCTTTGTGCTACGTTTTTTTTTTCCAATCATTTATTTCGGACTTAGTCTTGTAGGGAGGAGTTTTTAGTTTCAATCACGTATGTATAACTAAGTTCCTCAGTGTTGTTGCTTTTGCAGTTCAACTAGTACACAATGAATGTGCACAAATTTCACTGTGGAATTCTGGAAAGGCGATGATTGATTTCACCGATCTGTTTTCTGTAATTCATCTGGTGTTGCGTGTTGAGAAAAAAGTTTGCAATGGTGGGGAATAGATTCCAGCCATGCAGGCTACTCCTTGCAGGTTAGTGATGCACTTGAGTACTGGTTGTCTCTTTATCTTGATCACCAATGTATACTTTCTGTAAAGAGATGCTACAGAGCAATAAGTTAATTTGCTGATGCAGCACTTTAAGGGAATCAGGTAACGAGCGTTGTTTAGATCTTGTGCTCGTCACGTAGGAAAGGCTGTTACTGCTGATAACGAACTTCAGGTGTAAACCACGAATTCCTAACACTTTGTTTGTGTAATGCAGTGCTTGTATTTTCATTTGCCTGTCATGCGACGTTATCTCTAAGCCCGCGCTCGGAGTGCTACATGCTGGACGTGGATAATCATTTTTATGACTTTGTATCCTCCCTTTGACTCTAGATATCTCCAAGTAGATAATGTCTGGAATGCCATTTTAAGTTCATTAGATTTTTAGTACGTCATAAGCATGTAGTTGTGGGACTGGTTTGCTGGATAAGGAAAATAATGGTTGTAATGAATGTCATATGGCTAGGTATTATGATATTTACTTTCTCATTGATTTTACTTGTGGACCATTTTCTTAATAAAGTGCGACTACAGACGGATTGGATTGGAAAGGAGTTTCAATACACCGATTTCCAGGTTATATTGAAAATCTTAGTTTTTGTAAGCTTTGTGTGGTAGAATTTCAGGATTATTTAAAGCTTGCCAAGTTATTGCAGATTCTAGTATTGTAACGTTGAGATATTTTGGAGTCGTAATTTCGGTTTGAGTTCCTGGTGTATTTTAACGAAATTCTGGAGCTTAAGTTCACTTTCCCTTGTTTGTTTTGGTAAATCAGGATGGGTCAACGTACACGCTTCGTTTCTGCAAGGACATGCAAGTCAGATCTGGCCAGGTCATTTTCTTATTCCGATTTACTTTTGTGACCTGTTTAAGTGCACTGCCTTGTTGGAAGCACGTGTTGAGCCTCTGATAAAAAAGTCACGTACCCAAGAAGGATTTTCTCAATCAGGGGAATTTGGCATGCAGTCAATCATAAATTACGGTCGCTTCTCACCAGCGTACTCTTCGGCGCGGGACACTTCTGATTCATTTGTCCAAGTAAGTGTGGTGGTGTTTCCTACACCTTTATCTCTTAAACTCCTAACTTGTGCTGTCTTTCTATGCCTTAAATTCAGCATGTGTTCATTCAGATGCTTCTGATCATTTCTAGATCTTTGGCCGAAAGATCAGACGGTTAATATTGTATTGGTTCAAAGAAGATGGAAATTTTCTTGAAATTTTTCAACTAGTTCTCAATGTGCTGTTCATTCTAAATGATGCAAGATGTTTGACGTATATGATGTACGAAATGACGATTGTTCACTTTTTGCAGGAATATAGACATGGAGACTTGAAGGGTTGCGAAAATGAGGGTTACGACTACAGCGGTAGGGGGTCGATGGTACTAGACTGAACATTTTTACTTTGGACTTCTGTTCTGCTGTTGTGTTGGAGCATACAAGTGCACAATGCTTATTAGAACAATTTCTTCCCAAGGTCTCGGCCTCTCATTCCACAACGATGTCTTGTTTCTAAGCATCGAGTTGACGCCGCATACATCGTCAGCGCGCAGTAGCCCGAAATTACGTGCAAGGCTTGCGGCCCCATTGGACCTCCCCTCTCTTCTTTGACTCTGCTCTCGGATTTCCATCCCTGCTGCCCTCCCGTTTGCTGCCTGGCTTCGGATGCTCACCACCTGTCTGGCCTCGATTCTTCTTTGGACTGTGGGTGGGGTCCCCCCTCCCGCCCACTTCCCTCCCCACCTTCTCTGGTCCCCCTTTTGCGACAAGCTCTGACTTGCACTCATTTCATAATGAGCTGCTGTACTTCCGGTCGTTTTGCCCTACAGGTTGTCAAGTTGTGGCTCATTCTGTTTTTTCCCCTTGTCTCGTCGATCACTCGAGGTGTGTATCGTGTTCGTTTATTTAATTAATTTTGTTTGGTTTTTTTTATTTTCATTTCTTTTCTGTCTGGTTTCTAGGATCGTTTGGGTTGCAGCTATGCTTTGAAGGCTCTCTCTCTAGGATTGAAGAGTTGGCAATAATTCTACAATAATTCCTAATGTAGGTTTTAAATCAAGGTTTGTAAGTGCTGGTGCATGCGTGTGGTTGATTTTGGATTGTTATTGTCTGAATCTAAATATTCAGATTGCGACATTTGATTAATGATGTTAGCTCGATGACAAGAAGGTGTAGAGAGTTATACTTTGTGAATGATTAAGGTTTTGTTTTCTTCTTTTTTTTTTCTTTTTTTTTTCTTCGTTCTTTCTTTCTTTCTTTCTTTCTTTCTTTTCTTTTCTTGTGTTTTTGTTTTGTTTTGTTTTCTTTTTTTATTTTTATTTTTCTGATTAGTGATTATTTACGTAATTCAAGAAAATATATATGGTGCTGCTCGTTAGCATGGTTAAATGAGTACATACATGTGACATTCAAAAGTGCAGTGTTGAAACAAATTTATGAATCTAACGAAAAGGTTTATTCGTTTGTTTAACACTTCGTGGACTTTCCTTCCCTACTTATCACATTGTACAAGCACCCATTGTTGAGTTCATTCAAAATGACTAGAGCAAATAATATCTTTTCATTCACAACATGTGCTTCATGTGCATCTTCCATTTCAGATCTAACAATATATCATTGCTCAAAAAAATTAATGTTATATTGATTTTTAGAACAATTAATTGAGATCAATAGCACCATTTTTTTTATTATTTTAATTATTGTTTCAAAAATAAAGAGTGAAGTCGTTTATTTACCTATCTAACTTCTAAATTATAATTATTTATTTTTTAGATTGAATATTTTCCTTCTATATTTTTTAATAAAGACATATTTCGAGATTTTTATGGAAATTTTCATTAAGTTTTTATTAATATATAACATACATCTATATGATTAATAGTAGTGGTCATAAGATACTAAAAAATGGACATTCTTATGAGATCTCATTCTTATTCTTAGCAAAAAAATCACTGTGTATTTTAATTTATTATATCTAATAATAAAAAATAATTACCAGAATCTTAAAATTTAAAATTTAAAACAATATTCAGTAAAAGTTAACATTAAAATTTATGTGATGGTTTCAACTAAACAGAGTTGTAATAATTGACAAGACAAAAGGAAAAAACATAATTTTTTTGGACGCCTTATTTACAAACTATTTAAATTGAAACATTTAAATGTTTATCATAAATAATTTTAATATTAAAATTTAAAAAATATTTTTTTAAAATTTGAATTTATATGTATATATACATATACACAATTTTTTTCAAAAATTCAATAAAAAATAGTAATACAACAAAGACCACTAACATACAAGATAATATCTTTTTGATTATATGTTACAAAGTATTATCTAAAAAAATGATTCTTGAAATGAATTCTCTAAAATTTTATATACCACATATTTTGATTGTCATTTATAAGAAACTTAAAAATATTTGATAAATAAGAGTCAAAATTAATCGTTCATTTTCAACATCATTTTTAATACTTATATTTCATAAGTTATTTTAAAAATATTATTAATATATATTTATTTATTATTTTCATATCTTTCTCTTATAAATCAATTTTATGAGTATATTGACATCAATATTTGCTATGGTATATTATTATATACTTTTTAATCTATTATTAGATTTTTTTGAATATAATGATATTATATATTAATATCATTGATTTGTTGCTAGTGCTTTTGATTCATATAAATTTATATATATATATATATATATATATATATATATATATATTTATACTCAATAAATTTTACATCTTTGTATATTAGTTGCATATATTTTAGAATTTAATATAAAAGCTAGAAATCATTTGTTTATTGAATCTTTTATTTTTAAAAGGCTATTTAATGTATACCTATTTAATGTATGCCTATTAATGTATTTCTATGTTAATTTTTATCTTATTCCAAACAACATTTACTACATTAATAATATTATTTTAAATATATATATATATATATTTTTATTTTAAAAATATTTTAAAAATTACTCTAATATTGTACTTTGTAATTTGACCTAATACATGTATTACTATAAGATATCTACTTGTAGCTAATAACTATATAATTTAAATGTATTGAATCATCTATCATATTTTATGATACAAAGAATTATTCTTTAATTTGTATATATATATAATTTATGATTTTTTATATTTTTAGAACATATGGCTTTATAAAATATTAAAAATTAAATACATCAAACTATGTATTTATATAATTTATATAATTAAAAGAATAAATAATTCTTTCATAATTTTTTATTTTTTATTTTTTATTAATGTCATGGACAAATATATTTACCTTGATAAGAAGTGCTAGATAGAAAGTAAATATAAATAGATTTGATATTATCTTATGATAAAGCTTCTTAGAAGCTAGATAGATGCGTATTTGACTTTAGTCATGTTTCTAGTTGATTGATAGGTTAAAAACTTGGTCAACAAGTTAGCCCCATATGAAACATGCTAGTAGCTTGTAAAACAAATTAACTACATAGTACACATATAGAAAATTTGACTTTTAAGTTAGACACATGTCTCAAAAGTGTGATAGGTATTGGTAGTCTTATAGAATGCGTCACATAGCTTTTAGCTAGATAATGTATATATGGAGGCAAGAATAAAGTCTTTTTTTTCTCTTATCAATGTCTTTTTAGTTCTTAGTTTTATTTTAAGATTTTTCTAGTCTTTTTATCTTTGACAATAGCCATTCTATTTTGATATTATACCATCTTTGAGTGATTTTTTAGCCTTTTCAAGTAATACAAGAATGTATTGATCTTTTAGTTCTTTGAGATTTATGTATCACGAACATACATAGGTATTTTAGTAAATACCTATATGATTAGGTAGGAATAGGTAAAAGTAGATAAAAATAGATTAACTTCATAAGACCTTTTAGACAAGCTTCCTAGAAGCTTTATAGATACTACTTGACTTTACATATGTTTATAGTTGATTGATAGATTAGAAACTTAGTCAATAAGTTAATGACATGTTGATAGCTTGCGGAACAAGCTAACTATGTGGTGCACATATAAAAAACTTACCTTGCAAGTTAAGATGTGTATCTTATAAACTCAACACATTTTGGAGGTCCTATAGGACATTGCCACGTAGCTCCTAGTTAAGAGTATATATGGAGGCAAGAGTGAAGCCTTCTTCACTCTTGTCAATACCTTTCTAATCCTTAGTCTTTCTCAAGACTTTCTAGTCTTCTTGTTTTTGGCAATAGCCATTCTAATTCAATATTATATCATCTTTGAGTGACTTCTAGCTTCTTTTAGTGATACATGAGTGTATTAAGGATTTTCTTTCCTTGAGATTCATGTCCTTGATATCATATCCTTGACAATTTGACAAAAGTACTAATTCATTTTTTTTTCTTATTTTTAAAAGTGAATAAATTATTTTAATTCTATTATTATATTTTAAAGGTTGTAAATTAATTGCATTTAATATAATATTTTAATTCTTCAAGATTGATTTTTTTCTTTAAAGAAAGTGGATTATTCTTCTTTATAGAAATTTTTATTTAGTATTAGAGGTCATGGATTACCTTCTTTTAATTTGATTTATAAATTTATTTTTAATTATTTATAAAAAAAAATTAAAAATGCTACTCTCAATAAAAATAAGAATGTATTTGCAACCATTACAGATCTTCATAAGTTTGTCAACATTCTTAAAATAAAAATCTCACATATCTCTAACATCAACCAAAGAGGTAGTTTTCCAATATCTATAGAAGAGGTCAACAATGACATTCAAAGTCTACATCAAAAAGTTGTACAATTGAGAGAAGCAAGTAGATTGAGTTCACAACTAAATCCAAAAAGTCTTAGTACTATGAGTTTGAAGGAGACAAAGATTAGTATGTCCAAGAAGTTTGATGGAACAAGATTAAAGTTTTGAAGATTTTTACAACAAATAAAGCTCTATTTAAGATTACATCTTTCTTAATATTTTGATGGATTTACTCAAGTTGGATTTGTAGGTATACTTCTCTCTATGAGTGCTCTCTTTTGATTTTTATCTTTAATGGAAAATTATTCACAACTATTCTATGATTTAAATTCATTCTTGGAAGTTTTTATGGCCACATTTGAAAAAAGTGATGAAAAAAAAATAGTAGAGACAAAACTTCTATTTTTACAATACAAATCATATTCAACCATCATTTTTATTTTTGAATTCCAAAACCTTGCTTGCAATGTCGATTAAAATTATAAAGCCATTATCAATCAATTTTCATATGGATTAAAAGATAATATCAAAGATTTACTATTAACTATACTAAGAGAGAATTTATTTGAGTAATATGTTGCTTAAGCCAATACATACAACAATCAATTTTTTGAAAGATGCTAAGAATAAAAATTTGGTTGGAGAGGTATAAGTCAAGTCATCGTGATAACTTCTAAATTTATAAAAGTTAATTCATCAAAATCAGAATCTATGTAAATTAATATATTATATTTCAAATTTCTTATTGAGTAAAAAGACTTGACACATTCAAAAAGGATTGTGCTTATATTGTGGACAATCTAAGCATATTATTCAAAAAAGAAATGCAACTACAAAATAAAGAGCACAATTGTCAAAGATGATAATGTATCAAAAAACCAATTTTTTCAATTAAAATAGGAACTATGCAACTAGAATCTTATGCAACACCTCACAAAGGTCCTATCATCTTATTAGATCTTTTATTTTATTTTATAATAAAAATTTATTTTAGAAAAAAAAATACAAAGTCTTAACCTTATTAGATTCAAGAGCCTTAACCTATTTTATAAATAAATACTATTATTTATTAAAAAATCTTAAAAAATAGTTAAAAATATATAATATTATTTAAAATTAGCCGGATTTTCAACAAGAAATTTTTTTAAGTTGCTGCTTTTCTTATACATCTAACATATAAAGATGAA